AGGTGAATTCTGACAATCTTCAAAAATCTTCAGGCTGGACCAAGCTAATGCTCATGCACAGTACTAAACACGCGTCTCAGAACACTCGCCGTTTCTAAAGGAACCTGAGCTTCTAACGGCTGCTGCAATCGAGTGCCGAAGTGATGACGTCACTTTGCAGGACAACTCGGAAAGTTAGCGCCGCATGGGTTCCCTCGATCGAAAAGCAATGCATTTTCCCCATAGACTTTTGGAAAATCGCAAAAAATAAGATCTGTGTTCAACAAAGAGTTGTGACCCTTACACGTTTTGTCTATCAAGATAATCTTTACATGTTAATCTAAAATGTATACACTTTGAAGCCTATATAAATTTTTTTAAAAACACAAGCAGACACAATAAAGTTAAAAAACAGTGGCTTTGTTCATCACAGACCTTATTTCAGGCACATTCAAAAAACCCATCACTGACTTCAGAGCGAGGGAAGCGGCCGTGCTAAAATGCTAACTCACTTCTGCGTTTTGGCCTACGGAGTGACGTCGTAACTTCGGCACTCTATGGTGGCGATTGACACTTTTCTTTAGAAGGCGGGACTTGCACTTAGTTTGCACTTTCTCCCATTTGTAAGTAAATATGTGTATATATATATATATATATATACAGTATATATATATATATAAACAATTAAAAAGTATTTAAAAATGTATGAGTAATCTATTTCATCAGTTACATTACTTAAATTTTTTTAATTACACAGTATTGTTTTATTTTATTTGATTTATAATTGTTATTTTTTATTACACATTAACATTGCGTTTTCATTAGTCAAGTTTTCTTTATAGAGTGCCGAAGATACGACGTCACTCTGTAGGCCAAAACGCGGAAGTGAGTTAGCATTGTAGCATTACGGTTCCCTCGCTCTAAAGCCTATGGGATTTTTGAATGGGTTTTTGCTAAATCGCCTGAAATAAGGTCTGTGGTGAACAAAGCCTCTAAATATTTTCACGTTTTGATCTATGACATAAAACACACAGTTATAACCTGCTTGTGGTTTTTTAAACTTTATTGTGTCTGATTGTGTTTTTTAAAATCTTTATATAGGCTTCAAAATGTATACATTTTGGATTAACTTGTAAAGATTATCTTGCTAGACAAAACGTGTAAGGGTCAAAACCCTTTGTTAAACATAGATGTTATTTTTTGCGATTTTCCAAAAGTCTACGGGGAAAATGCATTGCTTTTCTACCGAGGGAACCCATGCGGGATGGTTGTCCTACAAAGTGACGTCATCACTTCGGCACTCTATAAAGAAAATTTGTAATGGTATTGAAAGTGATTTTTGAATTGCACACATGGTGAGACATTACCGACTGGTTCATAAATTTTAAACGACTGGGAAATTTCATTTTGGAAAACCCATTATGGGATGTCAACTCCACAAGGGCCCTGTTTCATGTACGAGTTAAACAAATCATGTTTGAAAACTGATTTGTTTTGAACCCTGCTTTCAAATTGTTAACTTGTATAAATAAAGACCCTAAAGACAGGGCTGTTTTCCATGGGTTATTTAATGTGTGGCGCATGCAGTGACTTTGGTGTTTTCTCATTTACTCGTACGTCCTGCAGTCAAACCCAGAAACAGAGATGCACAGCTCTATCTGAATTATCAAAAGCTCTGGTGATGTGCCGGAAATTGTGTTATTGATGAAGCGCTACACCAGATGTCCGTTCAAATAAACCAGCGTTCCATCGGTGTTCATTAGCAAACCATTAATTCGCGCGCACATATTGTGGCGCATATCGCGGCGCGAGAGAACATGTGTTGTTGTAGAAAGATCAGAGGAGAGCTATTATTTCTCCAACTTTGATGTCAGAGCAACTTTAACCCGATCCCTCTCCGTTTCTCACCTCTGCTTAAGTAAAAGCAAATCATTTGTGTGCTCTGAAAAGAAAATGAGCAGAAGAAGATAATCAGGCAACGGCTCACTCCCAGATGGCTGCTTCTGCTGTCTTGCCATCCGACTGAAGAGCTCTTTTCAGACTCATTTTATTCATATCCTTTTACACTGATGGCACTATCATTAGAGGCAATCTACCTGAACAATAAAGGTAATTTTCCCTGCCTTTATTAGATAAGACCTTCCTGACTGAGCGCCGTGTGCAGCTGAGGGCTAATTGTCCGTGTCAGCGTAAACAAAGCAGCTGTGTACATCCGTCGTGTGTGTGAATGTCGGCTTTGTGTACTGCCTCTCCCAGTATCCTGTAATCGGCAGAATTAGGCAGATGGAACAGGAAGTCGCCATTGTGTCGTCCTGGCAATGCGCGACTCTTGGAATGCGTGTGCGCGAGGGGGGATGTTGCGCGTTCGCTAACCTGCTCAGCCGCTTAACAAACGGAGGAGTCTGTGTTGTAGAGGTCGACTCGTGTTTGTTGTTAAAGATCTAATTAGAGAGTGCCGAAGAAGCAGCGGAAGCTCGTCTAATTAGCGGGGAGCAGAAAACCCACTTTAAAATTCAAGGACAACGGGCGATTAGAATGGATTACGAAGAGAAAGGGGGTCTCTTGTTGTTGTTGTTTTTTCGTAGTCGAGATCGAGCGTGAAAGTCGCTTTAGGTCTGAATAACAGTGCAGGGTGGGGAGAGAAAGACCCAGAATGCCTTGTGTTGACCTGGAACAGCCCCAGTGTGTCCCACACACAACTCCATAGGAAGCTCCACAGATTTCTGTAGGATTGGATGATGTTGAACACATCCCTGACCCTTTGTATGCATAAGACTGACATGACATATGTCTTGAATATGAAGTAGGGTTTATGCATGTTTATGACAACTGTCATTAACTCAAATGTCATATTTGCATTCAAAATGTCATTATTAAGATGGCTTTGTTTGACATTAACCAATACATCATAACCTGTCAGTGTCGTTGTCATGACAACTTGACATAAATGAAGTTAAACTGGCTTTGACATTGGCTGTCATGAGGCATTATAACTGTGTCATGAATATTTTTCGTGACTAACTGAATTTGTCATTAAAAAGTTATAATGGCTTCATGACCAACCAGCTGACAGTTTAATGTGATGTTAACCAGCTTTCTTAAGTTTAATCATTAATCTGCTATGTCATGTTTATGACAGGTTGTGTTGTGTTAGTAATGTCAAGTTGTCATGACAACGACACTGACAGGTTATGATGTATTGGTTTATGTCAAGGTGTCATAACAAAGACATCTCAAACGATGTCATATTTGCATTCAAAATGTCATAACTGAGCGAATGACACTTAATGACAGTCCTTCATATTCATAACATATGTCATGTCATGATTATTATCATGTTAGTCTTATGCACACCCCTTCAAGTAAAGTGTTACCAATTTTTTTTATAATTTGCATACTCTCATTTCAAACCAGTATGGTAAAAGATAATTTCAGAATATATTTGTTGTTGGGTCCCACTTTATATTAAGTGGCTCTAAGTTCTATGCACTTACATCGAAAAATAAGTACAATGTACTTATTATGTTCAGGTTGTATTGTAAAAAAAAAAACTCTTGCTGATAATTTACTCACCCCCATGTCATCCAAGATGTCCATGTCTTTCTTTCGTCAGTCGAAAAGAAATGAAGGTTTTTGATGGAAACATTCCAGCATTTTTCTCCATATAATGGACTTCAATGGGAACCAAACGGTTCAAGGTCCAAATGAGAGTTTCAGTGCAGTTGACTCTTTTTCCGAGTCAATTTGTTCGTTTCGTTCATTGAATGAACGACTCGGAAAAAGATTTGTTCATTTTGATGAACGAGTTAGAACGGGAGAGTCACGAACGTGCGTCACAGAACAGAGCAAGGCGAGCATTTGTGCTTATAAAATTCAAACTTTGTTATTTATTTATTAAATGAGCGATCGTTTCACTTGATAAGACCCTTATTCGTCGTCTGGTGTCGTTTAAAGCCCTTTGAAGCTGCACTGAAACTCTCATTTGGACCTTGAACCGTTTGGTTCCCAATGAACTCCATTATATGGAGAAAATCCTTGAATGTTTTCATCAAAAACCTTCATTTCTTTTCGACCGAAGGACATCTTGGATGACATGAGGCTGAGTAAGTTATCAGCAAAAGTTTTTCTAAAAGTGAACTACTCCTTTAAATGTGTTTAAGCTTTCAATTCAACGGTTTGAGAAAAAATCGGGGGGGAAAAAAACAACCCACAAGTCTGTCTGGGCTCAATATGTGTTTTTTCACTGAATTGTACATGTGAAGCTGGAGTTCATACAGAGATGTAATTGGGATCATTACAGCGGCTCATTTCTGTGATTCCTCAAGTCATGATTTCCAGAAAGCAGGCGGTGTTAGAGTTGGGCCATTCCTCAACACTCGAGTGTCATTTGACAGGCAGGCGTTTTGCCCACAAACCGCGGACGGTGCGGGAAAGTTGCGAAGCTGATGAAAGAGAAGCTGCAGATTACTTTTGGCAGCTGTTGAGGGCATAATCAGCTCTGTGATGTTCGGCACGACCCCGATGAAGAGCAAACATGCGGCAGGGGAGATGGAAGATCCTGGCTTTCTTTGATTGGATCGTCTTGCTCTTTCTAGAAGGCCAATGAAGACATTTCATGCTCTCTGTATATCAAATTTGTTTTTCAAAAAAAGTATATCATAGGATTAAAGAGACCAGCTATAAATGTTCAAATAATGTCCTCTGAGGCATTCATAATCTGCCATCCTGATGGAAAAAATGTCTGTTAAGGTCTAACACAGCTTTTTTTATGTTTATGGCCAATAAACATCAATGATAGTTTGTGGAACCGCCAGCGTTTTATTTCTCACTGTTATGAGTGTGTTCACTCATAGGTATCTTTGGTTTAGTGGGCATCATGCTGTGTTAACTACTAACAAATCGAGTGTATGTGGGCATCATTCAGCCTCATGTCGTCACCTGTCAGTCATTCATCTTTTTTTGTCTTATATAGTGTCGTGTGTATCAATGGCTGCGTCTCATCTTCTCTTTGTATTTCCTAGGGTTCCCCGATTACGGCTTTTATTCTGGCCCCGGTGACCAGCGGGCCGCTCCCTGCTCCTTTGCCGACTACGCCACCTTGGGGCCGCATACGGGTCAGATGCTGCAAAGTGAGCACGTCACCTCCACCTGCAACTCACCCTCCCAGCACCACCCAAGCCCGGACCACTTCAAGAGCTCAGGTGTGCATGGCGGATTTTGTCATAGACATGTTTTCCTTCTAACAGCCAGTCATTATGATATATTTGGAAATACCCCTTAACCCTGTAACGCTGTTTTCTGGACAAATGTGGACAAAATAGTTTTGATTTATTTTTAAACAATACTATCCGGTACAAGACTTGGCTACTTTTCCTAATTTTGCCTCCTGAACACACACAATTTTTTTTGACTCAATTCTACAATGTTAAAACTCCTTAATCTTGTATTTGGGTCAAAAATGGGCACCCATAAGTCAAGCAAAGTCACTTCATCTTTAGGTTTTAGCTCTAAGAACTTATTGGAATGATATTTTAATGTAGTTAAAAAATTAAAAAAAAAACATAAAAATAAGCATAATTTATGTAAGTATAAGTAAATAAATTCAAAAATACCCCCAAAATAAAAACAAAACACCATAAATGGATAGACAAAACTTTATCAAAGACAGTGATGTAACATTTATAATAAATAAAAATCAGGATCACACCCGCCCACATTTGTCCACAATTACAGGATTAAGGGCTATAAAGTGAATACGGTTTGAGGGTTACTATTACAAGAGTCATTATGTTAGTTTTTACATACAGAGACAATACAGAGATAAAATGCTTTATCATATATTATTTATATATCTTAGATACCTTTTTTTCCTCCCCCCCCCAAAAAAAGTCACATTATATGATATTATCGCTCTTGTAAGCTTGCAGCAAGGATGACAAAATATGATGTTTTCAAAGAAACGGTATGTTTACTATATTTATGCACAAATAATAGCTTATAATATTGAAAATACAATAACAAACACATCAGTAGGTCATTTGTAATTTAAAAACGTAAGCCTACATAGGCTCTATTTGAAATGCAAAATATGAAAGAATAGCTATTACTAAATGACTGCTGTCTGGGGAGGTTATTTGTGAGGTTTATCAATGTGAGGCTTTATTTTTTACGTTTTTGGAGCTTTAGCAAGCGATTATTAACAGAATAAAGTGTCTTTTGGTAAGAACGGTGTAGCTCTCTGTGTACGTCTATGACGAGTCAGCGATCCAAACCAGTGTAAAATAGTCCCAATGTAAACACTTATTATAGATGTACCATAGTGGTTCAGGATAAGACGGATGATGGATTCATGATGAACTCGCTCATTATGTACATTTTGAACAGAAAAAAGTTAAGGACTTTTATTTAATGCTCATTGCTCAAAGCTTTTCAAAATATGACGCTCGCTGAGGCCCCCCTGTGTTGGGAACCAATGACGTACTGTACAACATCTGTGTGTGAAGTATAATACAGGGTTGACTCATTTCATTCTGTTCCTACATTGATTTTGAGATTCTCCGCCCTCTGTGGACTGTATGATGCACGTTAAGCCTCATTGTTTTGGAGTAGCCAGTGAAGTCACGCGTTGTGTGACCCATCTGCGGTGCGGTCCTGATCAGTGCCAGGCCAGGTGTCGTGGATCTCTGAGATTCAGCTCCTTCTGTCCTACTTCTCTTTGCCTCATTTCATTTTGCAGCCAACAGGAAAACGTCTGTAGTCCTCCCGCTTTACACCAGCGATTACATAGATGAAGTAGGTTTGGCCTTGAGCCCAACCTGTGCTCATTCTGCTGCCGTTAACTTTGGACTCGGTGCAGAGGCTAAAGCTAAATCCTAAGAGTACGTGATTTAAATGGAAGAAAAAACCATTAGTGTTCTTGTTCGTTCGCATTATGGAAGTAAATGTGTTGGGGACATCATTACTGTTGAAGATCTCTGAAGTGCGTTTAGACAAGTATTTGGTGTTCAGATCAGTCATTGGTTTGCCACATATTGTTGTCTTTTCATCTGTTCCTTCTTGCTAGATTTTGGCACATTTCTCCATCTAAACAACAACAAAATATATTGTTTAGTTTTATTTTTTGTTGGCATTGGGAACAGAAACTCATCTACGACTTTGCTGCTTCAATTTATGACCTTAATATTGCTTTCAGTATGGGTTTAGAGCGTTTCCAGATAGCTCTATTAAATACAGACGCGCTGCCTGATATGAAGGTCCGTCCATTGTCTCTTGTATGCTTGTTGCTGTGGCAACTTGGTCTTTCGGGGGTCAATACTGACACCATTTGGTGTGTAGCTTTGTGTTAGATAGTATCTGTTTCTAAGTCTGTCCCCGCTCAGCAAAAACACTTTGTTATCCCGCCAAAGCATGTGCAGGGTGACATCGATTAAAAGCCCAATGCTGGGAGCTGGAGCGGGACAGATGAGTCACCTGTGTCTCCAAAACACGCTGCGTAATCGCAGGCCGGCGGGTTTAATTAGCATGGGTGCTGCTAAGCTACCAGTCAAAGCCAATAAATGTAAGTCATGTTTAGCTATTAAAGCTAATAGCAGTAACGGTTTAGCCCAAGGGTTTAATTTGGAGCATGAATCCTATTTCTTGCAAAGTGAGAGAAAGCACAGCACCTTTACAGAATCCAGCAATTATATGGAAGAAAGATTACAGTACACACATAAAATGACTGTAAAAGCGAGGTAAGCTCCTGTAAGACATCCGGGAAACACGGCCAGAGACAGGAGGAGAGTTAGTTAGTGCTGTCTGTCATCAGTAATTTAACACAATCTACAGTATCTCATTTACCAAAATCCACAGTAATAAATACTGCTAAATTAAAAATATTGCTGAACTTAGGAGGAGTAGTTCACTTAAAAAAAAATGATAATAATTTTGCTGATAATTTACTCGCCCCCATGTCATCCAAGATGTCCATGTATTTCTTTCTTCAGTCGAAAAGAAATTAAGGTTTTGGATGAAAAAATTCCAGGATTTTCTCTGTAAAATGGCCAATCACAGCGCTTGTGGTCCTGGTAGAATTGACACATTGTTACATTGTTACCTCTTTAGTTTTTTTTTTTTTTCGGACAAAAAATTAAGGCTCTCCAATCTTCTCAAAACTCTGGATTATGATAGAGGGCCATGAGACTTAGACCTGAGTGCAAAAATGGAGGCTTTAGACCCAGCCAGAGCTGAGATATCAAAACTCAAAATTTCGACTTGAAAAAAAAAACGACAGTGTTACCCCTTACGTTTTTTTTTTTTGGGGCGAAAAATTAACTATCCCCAATATTCTTGAAACTCTGGATTCTGATAGAGGGCCATGAGACTTAGACCTGAGTGCAAAAATGGAGGCTTTAGACCCTTCCAGAGCTGAGATATCGAAACTCAAAATTTCGACCCGAAAAAAAAAACGACAGTGTTACCCCTTACGTTTTTTTTTGGGGGCGAAAAATTAAGTATCCCTAATCTTCTTGAAACTGGATTCTGATAGAGGGCCATGAGACTTAGACCTGAGTGCAAAAATGGAGGCTTTAGACCCGGCCAGAGCTGAGATATCGAAACTCAAAATTTCGACCCGAAAAAAAACCCCGACAGTGTTACCCCTTACGTTTTTTTTTTTTTTTTTGGGCGAAAAATTAAGTATCCCCAATCTTCTCAAAACTCTGGATTATGATAGAGGGCTCTAAGACTTTGACCTAAGTGCAAAAATGGATGATCTAGACCCTTCCAGAGCTGAGATATCAAACTTCAAAATTTCGACCCGAAAAAAAAACCGACAGTGTTACCCCTTTCGGTTTTTTTTTTCATTTTTGGGCGAAAAATTAAGTTTCTCCAATCTTCTCAAAACTCTGGATTATGATAGAGGGCTCTGAGACTTTGACCTGAGTGCAAAATGGATGATCTAGACCCTTCAGAGCCGAGATATCAAACTTCAAAATTTCGACCCGAAAAAAAAACGACAGTGTTACCCTTACGTTTTTTTCATTTTTGGGCGAAAAATTAAGTTTCTCCAATCTTCTCAAAACTCTGGATTATGATAGAGGGCTCTGAGACTTTGACCTGAGTGCAAAAATGATCTAGACCCTTCCAGAGCCGAGATATCAAACTTCAAAATTTCGACCCGAAAAAAAAACGACAGTGTTACCCCTTACGTTTTTTTCATTTTTGGGCGAAAAATTAAGTTTCTCCAATCTTCTCAAAACTCTGGATTATGATAGAGGGCTCTGAGACTTTGACCTGAGTGCAAAATGGATGATCTAGACCCTTCCAGAGCCGAGATATCAAACTTCAAAATTTCGACCCGAAAAAAAACGACAGTGTTACCCTTACGTTTTTTTCATTTTTGGGCGAAAAATTAAGTTTCTCCAATCTTCTCAAACTCTGGATTATGATAGAGGGCTCTGAGACTTTGACCTGAGTGCAAAAATGGATGATCTAGACCCTTCCAGAGCCGAGATATCAAACTTCAAAATTTCGACCCGAAAAAAAAACGACAGTGTTACCCCTTACGTTTTTTTTCATTTTGGGCGAAAAATTAAGTTTCTCCAATCTTCTCAAAACTCTGGATTATGATAGAGGGCTCTGAGACTTTGACCAGAGTGCAAAAATGGATGATCTAGACCCTTCAGAGCGAGATATCAAACTTCAAAATTTCGACCCGAAAAAAAAAACGAAGTGTTACCCTTACGTTTTTTTTTCATTTTTGGGCGAAAAATTAAGTTTCTCCAATCTTCTCAAAACTCTGGATTATGATAGAGGGCTCTGAGACTTTGACCTGAGTGCAAAAATGGATGATCTAGACCCTTCCAGAGCCGAGATATCAAATTCAAAATTTCGACCCGAAAAAAAAACGACAGTGTTACCCCCTTTTGTTTTTTTTCATTTTTGGGCGAAAATTAAGTTTCTCCAAACTTCTCAAAATCTGGATTATGATAGAGGGCTCTGAGACTTTGACCTGAGTGCAAAAATGGATGATCTAGACCCTTCCAGAGCCGAGATATCAAACTTCAAAATTTCGACCCGAAAAAAAAACGACAGTGTTCCCCTTACGTTTTTTTTTTCATTTTTGGGCGAAAAAATTAAGTTTCTCCAATCTTCTCAAACTCTGGATTATGATAGAGGGCTCTGAGACTTTGACCTGAGTGCAAAAATGGATGATCTAGAC